GTGACTCTAAAAGAGGAGGAAAAATTTGTCAGCTCATCTCTGTTGGCAGGTTTGTGGGACTACTTTGAGCAGACTACTTCACCATGCCGCCCAGAAAAGGGAAAAGCCTCCAGCTACTATTTTGGTACACGCAATGCAGAAATGTGATTTTGTACTTCTTACTGATGCCAAAGTTTATGGAGAAAGAAATAAGCTAGCTATATTTCCCAGAGAGAAGATCAAATGAGTTATATAATTTTCACACAGATCACGAGCTAGAACAGAAATTGTGTGACTTCAGGTTTGCTATGATTAAGAATCTGGGAACGCTTTCCAGGGGGAAGAAAACAAAATTCAAATTAATGTTTTATCAGGACACCAGAATGTCTGCGCATGGTGCTCAGACTGACCGAACTAGGATATCTGTGCTCAAACAAAGGCTTTTGGAAGTTCTCCAGGTCGGACGGCAACCAAGAAACAAGGAACACACTGTCTGGTTACCAAGCCTAGAGTAATTAACCTGCATTAACAAAATCTCAAGACATAGCCATTGTTAAGTACAACATTCAAACTAGTGAACACCTTCTGTATGATTTCAAGTTTGTTGTGTTTAAAATATTCTGAATCTGGAATTCTTCAGATGCTGCTATTTGATGCTTAATGGCGAGAGATGATATTCTCACTGGACCTGGGTTTGTGCCTGCCTGTATGTGCAGGGGTGTGTGTGTGTGTGTGTGTGTGTGTGTGTGTGTGTGTTGTGTGTGTGTAGAAAAACAAGAACTTCCAACCATCTGTCTCTGTAATCCTATAAAAATATCCTTGCATATTGGTCAAACACAGCTTTCAACCTCCATAAAAAGAACATTAGATTAGTAATAAAAATATAGGTCATAACACAGAACACTTAAATGAAAAGAAGCTCTTTCCTATTTATTTATTAAGAATTTATGCCTTTTTGGCTTAAAGAGTATTTGTCATTTGTTTATATTACCTACCGAATTGATGTGAACTCCTATCTTTGGACAGGATGACTAATGAGAACAAAATGGTGAGTCTGAGCACAGGTACAACCATTATGATGCCTTGTATAAAGGAAATGCACTAGGCACACAGATAATCAACCTTATCTCACATAATTTTGGGTGATTAAGCCTGCAAGACCTTTCACTAAGTGTAGGTGTGCTGCCAGTGCAATTGCCACCGAAAGTGATACAACCATCAGCTGGAGAGTGCTTTGGAACTTTAAAGGCAAAAGAAACCTTTTCTTCAGTGGAACATTCCTTTTTAACCTGCTTTTCTGTCCAAACTGATAAGGCCTTGGATGTGCTTGTCAGAGAGTTCCTTTTGAGTTGAACAAGGCAAAACCGAATTAACAAACTAGATCATAGAGGTACATGCTGGAAATCATCATGTGTTTTTTCAATCACCATGTACTATTAATATATTTCATTACTGTCAGTCATAAGCCCCTTCATCAGCAGACAACTGGCAGCATAAACCAAAGGTGTAAGAGAAATGAATTCTAGGGGCACCTTGGTGGCTCAGGGGGTTAAGCCTCTGGCTTTTGGCTCAGGTCATCATCTCAGGGTCCTGGGATCGAGCCCCACATTGGGCTCTCTGCTCAGCGAGGAGCCTGCTTCCTCCTCTCTCTCTGCCTGCCTCTCTGCCTACTTGTGATCTCTATCAGGTAAATAAATAAAATCTTTAAAAAAAAAGAGAGAGAGAAATGAATTCTAGCCATTAATTTAATGTTTGCTTAACTTTGAGTTTGGTGGTGAACTGGGACAAGATCACCCGCTATTAGTGGCTGAACCACTTAGCCCAGTGCCCACAAGGATGCAGTCTCCACCCTCTGACATTCTGCACCTGGACTGCCAGCGTCTCCACTCTTTCTCCATACCAGGTCATGGGGAGTTGTTGAAGGGACCCTAGCCGCTAACTATTGAGTCCATATGGGGAGTGGACCCTGTCCACCAACCCTTTGCATCTAGAGGCATCCTGTGAAGGAGGAACTCAGCTGAGGAGGATGGTCTGTTATCAGGCAAACTGTCATCTTTGTTGATGTATCCTTACTTAAAACTACATATTTGTGTTTACCAGTGGGAGGCCATAGGCAGTAACTTTGCTCTGTGAATATTCTTTCAGTGTGTCGAGAGAGACAGTGGGTGCCAGGAGTACACGCTCTGAATCCATACCCAGCTCTACCTCTGACCTGGCTTTGTAAACCCTGGGCAAGCTGTTCAGTTTCCATGAGCTTCTGTTTCTTCTTCTCTGAAACATAGATAGTAATAGTGTCTCTCTTAACAAGAACCTTTGAAAACTAAATGAGATGGTGCAGGTAAAGCATTTAGTTTGCTTTATTCTTAGTAGCTATTAGGTGCTTCATAATTGGTTGCCATTATTACTGTACGAACTGTAAATAGCACTCTGTTGGTTACTCTCTCCATTCTGTCCATCAAAATTGGTCCATTTCAGGAATGCTATGGAACCTAAACCACCTCTGGAAATTGGGGAGGAGGCGGGGGCTTAAGTTACTGCCTAAAGTAACATAGAAAGGCTTGAGATATGGGCTTTGGGCTGATATGGGATGGAAGATTCATTCATGTTTCACCTTTCTGTTTTAATTACTAAGGTCTTGGGAAACTATGTTGTAAGACAAAGTGTCATTATTCTAGGGCATTTTACTGACATCTTAATTCCTGCTATTTATTCATCCTCCAAAGGAAATACAAAGCTCATTTTCACTGGCTTCAAAATGATTCACTCCAAAGAAGCTTGGTAGTACATCCTGTCAACCCCTTAAATAATTGGTGTACTAATGTCTTCTCCAATTTTCTAGAGGCTCTTTAGTTGTTCATCATGCATTGAAGTTTCAGGGAGATAATCTGCAATCCGATTTTTGTGGCTCTCACTTTGTGTTACCCCCAGGATATAATGTCATTAATGCTCATTCAAACTCCATGCATAGTCTTCAAGTATTCAAGCTATACTATAGCTTGCTCTGCTAAGGAATTTATAGAGGGTTATCTGAACGGATCAAAGGGAATGTAATGATTTGGGGTGATTTCCACTCATGGAAAAGAAGTGACATTTGTGAGATGTTTGTTCCTAGAGATACATTTCAAAAGCATTATGAGGCATTTTTACTTATAAAATTTTAGATTAAGGGATATGTATGTACCCCTGTGAAAGGTTCTTCAAAAGTGCACACATAGACTCTTTAAAGACATATCCTTAATTCTCTGGTTTGCATCCTCTTTCATAAAAGTATTTGCTTTGAAGCCATACAGCTGCAATCCATACGTGGTCAGCTTCTAGCTGACCTCAGGTGTGCTCCATCCTGGAGGTGGAACCCAGAAATGAACTGATTCCTCCTAGAACACATAAAGGGTCCAGATATGGATGAAAGTGCTTTAGTATAAAATCACAGTGGCTTTAGCAATGCGACAAGTGGCCTGACATGATTTAGCTTAAAGTCAGGTATCCCATTTTCTTTCTATATATTTTCCCTTTTCATCATGGAATCTTCTGCTGCCCACATTTTTCTGAAGGAAACTATGATCTTTCAACAAAATTGTCTAAACCATGACCTCAAAATCCCTTGTGAAAGAGAAAAGATAAAAACAAATTAATCAATTAATTACTTTAAATAAACAGGATACCTCTTTTTTTTTTCTTTTTTTTCTCTTTCCTATGGGTCATGGATGAAGGAGTCACCCATCATTTTTCTGAGACTCATGCAAGTCACATACATCTTTCTTAAAACTGAAACCATTTTTAGAATTTGGGACACCTAAGAGAAATTTGCAAATATTCTGTCCTCTACAAGAACAATCTGACAACGTCCCTTCCCCCAAGTTTCAAGGCAGTGGCTATCGTTCAATATAGATAAGCCTCACCATCATCAAATACAGAATCTACTATCTGTACTTGGAAGTACTAAACCTCCATATTTGCCTGAAAAGACAACCAATGAAAGATATTTATAATTTCAGCAACACTCTAATACTCTCTGTTGCAATCCAGGTTTTAATTACAGAACATAATTTTATGACTACAACCATCTAATTTCTCCAAACCTATCCAATGTATCTCTTTTCTACCTATGACTTAATAAACCTCTTGCCTAAAAAATGTCTTCCTTATGCAATGGACCACGGTGCATGGAATCACTGTACCTGTCAACCTTTTTAACCCTTCCACAAATTGTTCCTTTCTTAAATACTGCATTTTGGTAAGTTAGAGGTTCATTATGACTACATCTGCATGTTAATTGCTTATCTATAGTACTGCTCAGCATAAAATAAATGTACATGTAGAAATCATGCAAAAGCAGATGGTGTCACATATTTTAAAAATATTATACATACATATATACATACGTATACACATGTATAATTTTTGTTAGTCATGGAAAATGGCCAATAGATTGATGCCTAGAGAAGCAGACCCAATTTTAGAAGCAGACGTGAGCACCATAATAATTGTAATAAGGGAATGTTGTTTGTTGTTGTTGTTGTTGTTGTTGTTGTTGTTGTTTAATAAAGCAGTCAGTAATTCTAATGCTCTATAAACGTCTCCAGACCTCATACATTCTGAGCATGGCTGTGTGCATTTGAATTCTTACCAAAAGCTCACAGAGTTCTAGATACGGACTCGTAGACTGAAAACACAAATCCCGAAATATTGGCATCATGGCCCCTGTGGGCCACGGACGCTTTGCACACCGGCAGAACCAGAGGGCCAGAGAACTAGCCCCACACTCACTCACACAGGTATCTCTTCCCTGCAGGCCACCCAGCAGCGACACCACCAGTGATAGTCACCCCTGGCCGGCAGACACTCACAGGCACACTCGGGGGAGCTCCGGAGAAACCTAGGGGAAGGGGGAGGGTCGGGCATCTAGGGCAGCGGCGCGCACCCCCGCACAGTCTCCGCGCCTCCAACACCGTCCAGGACCCGAATTCGCTCCCGAGCTGCCCTCAAGATCTGCATTATGCCAAAGAGCTGAACCAACTCACCTCCACGAAATAAAAGCAGGGCAAGAGGGTCACGCTGTCCTTGATCACTTTGCCCTTTGGCCTCTCCTTCGCCGACATCCCTGCCGTCTGCCCGAGTCCGCGTCCTCCCCCGGGCGAGGTGTGCACCGCGCAGCCGAGGCGAGCTGCCTTCTCCAGCCGCAAGCGCCCGGCGCCGCTGATGTCACATTCCCCGCGGACACCGCTGGAGCCAGCGCGTTGCATGCAGCGCCCCCGCCTTTCCCCGCCCCTCTTTGCAGCAACCCGGCGGCTCCCTGAACGGGCAGGGCCCCTTCCTCCCGCTACTCAGGCCCCAGCTCCCGGTTTTGTTCCACCGGGAGATGTCCAGCTCCCTCCTGCAAGCTGTTGCTGCAATGGCTTCCCCTCCCTGCCACCCTCCCTCTGCTCTCCACCGCCCTTGCCAGGCTCCGCGCTGTTGGAGCTTGACGTCAAGAATCGAAAAGGGGGAGACGCACCCCTGGATATTGCAGCAGTGAGGCTGAGAAGCTAAGACACCCACGTCCCCCTCTGGAAAGCCTCCTGAGCCGCTGGAGGCGCTTACTTAAGAATTGCTGGAGAGCGGAAGCCCGGCTCCTGCGCACTGACCCACAGAATGAACACTGACCTCTACCTGCGTGAAATTTAAAACTTGGATCCCATACTGAAAAGTAGGCCTGGTGGGAACTTACAGATTGCTGGCTGCTATCCAGGAAAGAACGCCCCTTTTGAGGGAGGATTCTCTGCCTAGGGTACTCCCTGGCCCCCTACAACACCTTCCTGCTGATAAACACCATCACCTGTCTGGGAATGGTGAGGGTTCCCTGCACCAAGGGAGGCTGGTGTGTGGGCATCCTCATTGAGCCCAAAGGCCAGGGCTGTTCTAACCGCATCATCACACCTCCAGAACAGAGCCAACATCACAGTCTTAACTGTGATAGGAGGCACCTCTTCAGACATTAATAATCTAGAATAAGTCCTCCACCTTTTGGCAGTGAACTTGGCTGCTCTCAACTGTGTGATTATTCTGACAACCTAGCAAGGTCAAGTGATACAGAGGAGAAAAACACCCAGCAAATATAAAACACTGTATATACTGTATTAGGCTGATAAAGATAACCCACTCCCATGATCACGTGCCCTAGTATCTTCAAGGTCTCCATTTCAAGCGTCTGACCTCCAACCAAGGCGGACATTCCCACCTCAATTCCAGTTCGCTCATGACCTCATCTAAACAATGAGCACTCAAATGCCCAGCCTCCAAATACCATTGCATTGGGGGTTAGGATTTCAGCCTAAGAATTTTGAGGGGCACAGAAATTCAGTCCACAGCACACTCCAGTAGATCTAGCATGGAGACAAACTGATCCACCAATGTCCACATTTCATGGGCAGTAGCATCTTATGTCCTTATTTTCTCGGGTTCTAAGAATTCTTACCAAAAGCTCACAACTGTACAAACCTTCATGTTCTACCTCCCTATGCACCACACCTAGAAAGCAAAATCCCAGCCCAAATTGAATGAGATTCTCTGCCCTTGCCAGAAAAACTGAAGGTGGGTAGAGGAAAACACACAACCATGTGGTGTTGTCTCACATTAGAGTGATGACCACAAACTTCAAACAGGCCCCGATACCCGACATTTTTTTTTTCCATAGTCCGTTCACTTTCTCACTCTCTGGGGACCAACTCACACTTTCTTTTTCTTCAAATCTTGTCATTCTCAGCTAATGACATCAACTCATTTTACCCAAAGAGTGGAAGTAATCAGAAGAAAACCATGTTATCTTCCAAAGCTGACTACTTGCCCCATTCCTCACCCTCCACAGCTACCACCTTGTCTCTTCCTTGCACTGACACAATTACCTCCTGACTGTTCTGCCAGCTTCCACTCATGTTAGTCCTGTAACCTATAAACCATTTCCTATGCGGGAGGAGCCAGAATGATCTTCTGAAAAGTAAATCCAATTGTGTCACTCCTCTGCCCAAACCCTCTAAGAGCTCTCCATCACACTCAGAAGAAAATCTAACCTCCCTAGCCTCAGGGATTTTGCATGCACTGTTTCTTTGTCCCAGAATGCTCTTCTGTCAACATTGCATGGCTTAACCTCTTACTTAATTCATACCTTTGCCCAAATTTAAACTCTTCAGGACCAGTGACTCCACCTAGATAGCATTAATCACCTCAGGCCTCTGTTACTCTTTATTCTTACATATTATTTTGTTTTTCTATACAGACCTTGTCACTATCTGATAGTTTATCAAGTATTTATTGGTCAATTTTTCATTGACTTTTATTGACTTTATGTCCCATTAGAATATAAGCTCTAAAAGGTCAGTAAGTCTTATCTAGTAACTGGAATTGCGCTTGTTGGCAAATAGGCATTCAGTAAATATTTGTTGAAGAAATGAATCAATTAATTAAATTAAATGATAGAGGTGGGTAGGGGTATGGGTAGAAAGAACAAAAACAATGCATACAAAACCATGTAAAATAGTTTCTTCCACATACTAAATGTTCAAAGATTGTTAATTTATCAACCATCATGCTATTAATCAGCAATTATACTTTTCATCACTACCAAAGTTCTTCTGTAGGGATTTCCTTTTTCCAACTCTCTTAGTACCTCAACAGAATTTGCAATTCTTGGTAGTGGTAAAAAATAAGTTAGAAAATTTCTGAATTTATCATCCAGGAAACTCAGCTTTTCTATATGAAGGGGAGGTAAAAACAGAAGGCTAAAACTGCAGTTCCCTAATGTTATTAGCCAAGAGCTGAAAACCTGTGATAAAATGCCAGAGACGCATGCTAACCACACCTCAGTAATTCAAGAAATTATTGAAACATTAGAAAGGTACATTCCTTTTCTCTCTAGATGGGCTGACCAGCGTAACCTGACCACATGGTCTGGGATCAGGAAATGCTTCAGAATTCAAAGCCCAGTTCTTACTGTAAATCCTTTATCCCTCCCTTGACCAGATTCTCTTTTCTTCTCTCCCACCTCTTTTAGAATATTTTCTTTCCCTTCTAAAACCATTTCACAAAACAATGCAACTACCTTTTGCAATCACCCCAATACTAAACACAATAATAATTTTATATTGGAGTAACAGTGTGATGTATTTTACCTACTCTAACTTTTGATGTTCAAAACAATGCAATGAACAGGGCAAATTATTTCCGTCTTTCAAAAAATCATCTTGTAGATGCAATTCAGAGGTGGAAAACATTAAGAAATAAAAGACTGAACCAGAAGAGAATGAGATTTGGAATCAGAGACCAGAGCTTGAGCCCAGGATTTATATTTGAAATCTGCTTTCAAGCAAGTCATTCCACATTTCAGTTTCTTCTTTAAAAAAAAAAAAAAAAAAAAAAGATTTTATTTATTTACTTGATAGAGCAAAGGAGCGAGCAAGAGTGGTGCAGGGTGGGGCAGAGGGAGAGGGAGAAGCAGACTCCCTGCTGAGCAGGGAGCCTCCAGCAGGCTGGATCCTGGGACAATGGTATTATGACCTTATAACCTAAGCTGAAAGCAGACACCTAACTAACTGACTGAGCCACCTGGGTGTCCCAACATATTAGGTTCTTAATACATTAAATCACTGACATATTGGCCCCATCTGACCCCTTGGGAGCTCAAATGTGACAATATATGTGAAAACACTTGGGACGTTATCAGATTGGTCCATCCATTCAACCTACAAATCTTGATTAACCCCTCCCCCACTACTTGGAAGGCACTTTTCTTACTGGATACCCATTGGATAAAATAATAGATATGGTTCCTGCCCTCACAGAAATCAGAGTCTAATGCAGGTGGAAGGAAAGATGTGCAGGACAATAAATTAATCAATAACAATAGAAAGCACTTAGATGATACTCACTATAGATGAGTTGCTGTTAGAAATGTTTTGCACCAGATAACCTCCTTTAAATCTTACAACAACTTTAAGAACTGCATACACTGGCTCACATTTTTGGGTTACAGGACCTGAGACTCAGAAAGGTTAGTTATTGTGCACAAGGGCAACAACTACAATTACCTGAGATTTTGAACCTAGTACATTACTCCAAGCTCTGTGATATGCTGATATACTGATATGCTGATTTTTTTTTTTTTTCCAGGCTCCATGCCTATGTGGAGCCCAATGCAGGGCATGAACTCGCAACCCTGATATCAAGACCTGAGCTTAGATCAAGAGTCAGATGTCCAACCAACTAAGCCACCCAGGGGCCCCTCCAAACTCTATGATCTTAAGGGCTACTACACACACTGCCTCTCTTAACAAGCATATAATTACCTCCTAAGATGTACACTACTAAGGAGACAATTAGGATGCAGTTGTAATTACTGTGGAGAAACTTCTTAAGTGTGGTGGTCAAGGAAGGCTTTGGGAAGGGTTGACCTCTGAGCCACTTTCAGCCTTGAGGCTACTAGAGGACATTCCTGAACTCAAAAATGCTCCATCCCACACTCACCATGCACGTCCGTGTTTGTACCAAGGGCAGAACTTATATGTTGAATGTTGCTTCAGGTTTGCTGGTTTCAACTTCTTATAATAATGGTGGAATTAAAAACAATTTAATGTGCCTCGTAGAACTTGAATATTTTTCAGTGGAAATCTTGTTCCAGTGTGTTCAAATGAAAAATGGCACCCACTGAAAACAGAGCACTCTGACATTTCTCAAGACAGAGTACTTCATAGCACAAATAACCTGGAAAAAATATGCCTGAAAATGCATTTGACATGATCATTAAAACTGTCAGATTCCTGAGATAAGAAAGAGGTCGTTTTCCTATGTGTTGGTTTTGGGTACTCACAGCCAAATACGAACTCTTTCTCGGCTTTTTGGCAACTATGCTTCCTTGGGATATTTGGCATTTATCTTTAAGGTTGAAAAAAAAGTGTATTTAATTTAGTAATGTATTTCTCAAACATCAGTCCACTTCTCAGTAGTATGGGGAGGCGATTTAAGATTTTATTTCATTTTCCTAAGAGAGAGGTTTAGAAGGACTGAATGTGTGAAGGAGAAAAAGTAGTCAAATGAGGAAAGTTCTGGCAGATGGGAGAGTGATGTTCTAATTCTGACCTCGTCATGGACTAAGGAGACTATTTTACCTCAGGGACTCGGTTTCTTCACCTAAAAATGGAGTTTGAATGGTAAAAATGATTATCTGTTGTTTTTGTTTGTCTAAGACCCATTGTCCTTTCTTGTGATGGTGTCTTGAATTTTCATGATGAACTGTATATTCCTGCA